CTATCATGTGCTTTCTCAAGGTCGATAAACACCATATGAATGTCTCTTTTCTTTTCTTTATACTTTTCTATTACTCTCCTCAAATGATAGATCACTTCCATTGTTGACTTGACAGAAATAAACCCAAATTGATTCTCTAACACCTCTGTTATATCTCGCAATCGGCATTCCATCACCATCTCCCACACTTTCATTATATGACACATTAACTTAATTCCTCTATAGTTGTTGCAATTCTGGACATCTCCTCTATTCTTATAGATTGGCACTAAAATACTCTTCCTCTACTCATCTGGCACGTTCCTAGTCAACAAAATTTTGCTAAATAACCTAGTCAACCAAGCAACCCTCTTTTTACCCACACACTTCCAAGCTTCAATAGGGATATCATTGGGTCCTAAAGCCTTATTTGATTTCATCTTCTTAAATGTAATCTCCACTTCAAAGTTCCTAATCTTACGATAGAACCTACTGGCTTGGTTTATCGTATTACTGGCTATTTTTTCCCCTATTGATGTACCTCTACGTTCCTCATTTAATAGTTTCTCAAAATAGTTCTTCCATCTCTCCTTAATCTCTTCATCATTCACCAATACCTTAAAATCCTCATTCTTGATGCACTTAAGTAAAATCTCTTGTTTTCATTTCTCGTATCTTAGCAAGTTTGTATACCCTCTTCTCTCTCTCTCCTTACTATCTAGTCTAGTGTATAGGTCATCATAAGCTTTCAACTTAGCCTGTCTCTACTTTCTTGATCTCCTTATTAGCCAATCTATAACTCTTAAAATTTTCCTCAATTCTATCATTCTGCCACTTTTTAAAGCAATATTTTTTTCTTTAACTACCGCTTGAACCTCTTCCCTCCACCACCAAGTTTCCATAGAGCTGGGTCCCATTCCTTTCTACTCTCCAAGCACTTCCCTTCAGATTCTCCTCATAAAATTGGTCATCAAGTTCTACATAGTGTTAGCATCATTTTTCAAGTCCCAAGTACTTTCCTTATCCATTATATTCTTAAATATTTTTAGTTAATCCCTTTTTAGGTACCACCATCTCGTCTTACGACGTCCACCATCCTTCCTAGATTGATATTGCCCTTTAAAACATAAATCTAGTACCAAAATTCTATATTGGGAGGCTAGGCTCTCTCCAAGAATCTGTCACGACCCAAACCCGGTATCCAAAGGTTTGGTGTCGCAACAAGATAAAAATAAAATAATTCTAAAATTTCTGTAGTAGTAGCGCAACGGATAAATTAAATAAATTAAAATAAAATAATTGGGTACCAAAAGTTTATTAAAAAGAAACAAAAATATCATTTGGGCTTTTATCTTATTACAAGAGTCCAATAAAAAATACAGATAGTATAAAAAAAAGAAAACACTGTGATTTATCCCCCATCTTGATCCCGTTAAATCTCGTCACCTGAAAGAGTTAACAACTATAAGCATATAACAGAGTGAGAAATATCATACTGTGAGTATAGGGGAACAAAATAGCTATGGATAGTTATTTTAAGTTGAATAAACAAATTATTTGAGTGGTATAAACTGAAATACAGAAATTACGTAAATAACTATAACCACGATACAAAACAGAACAGAACAGGGGTCACTAGAGTGACAATTAGAATAGGGGTCAATGGATACATGGCAAACAGAGGACCACAAAGTGGCCAAACAGGGGCCAATGGTTATTTAAGTCCCCCAAAGCATGAGACTCCCGTGGTGGTACTTACAGAAAATAATTGTTTATAAAATCATTGTCAAACATATCCATGGGTTTCAATTTAAGCAAATAGAGTTCAGAAAATAATCCACGTAATTGAAACATTAACATAACTATAAAACATAAATTATATAAAATAAATTGTGGTAATTCAAAATATTTGTAAAATATATTATGGTGACTCAAGACATATATAAAATATGTTCTAGTAACTCAAGGTATAATATAACTTACCTTATTATTGACCCTTAGCCTTCACTTTTCTATGATTGTCTCGTTATTCTATGCTACTAGCAACTAGCACGCTGCTCCTTAGATTTTTGTATCTTTTCTCTATATTTTCGAGATCCCTCAGTTGCTCCCTATTTATAGGCGGTGATTGCATGATTTCAAACTAAGCGGGTTGCTCAAACTTGGCCACCTATCTAACAGGTGCCATTTCTCCCTTCCTCCACGTGACCATTACGTGGCCTAGCTGGTGATTACTTAGTCACCATCCTATATACTAGGATGGTGATAAACCACCATTTTTTTTTCTTTCTTAACCTTTGATTTAATTTGCATTAGGCCCAAGGTTTTAATAATCTAATTAGATTACATTTTATCACCTACAACCATAATTATTTTATTTTATTGGTTATGGTATTATTTACATATTTAGGGTGTATTATTATTATTATTATTATTATTATTATTATTATTATTATTATTATTATTATTATTATTATTCTTTATATAGGCTCTCTCCAGGAATCACCTTACAATCATTGCATTTTAGGTGGTCCAATTTTCTCACTAAGAAGTAATCTATTTGGCTCTTAACTGACCCACTCTTATAGGTTATCAAATGCTCATCCCTCTTCTTATACATAGTATTGGCCACCACCAGGTCAGAAGCTAACGCAAAATCTAAGATACTCTCTCCAGCCTCATTTCTATCACCAAAACCATATCCACTATGCACCCTTTCATAGCCTAGTTTGTCTATGCCTACATGGCCATTAAAATCTCCACCTATAACTAGGTTCTCTCCTACGGGTATCTTCTATAAGATCTCATCCATTCGCTCCAAAAAATCCCTCTTAGTCTGATCATCTAATCATACTTGAGGGGCGTATGCACTAATAACGTTCGCTATATTCCCTTCAATAACTAGTTTAACTAACATAATCTTGTTCCATTTCTGATTGACCGCCACTACATTTTCCACAAGACCCTTGGCAACTATGGTTCCTACCCCATTCCGGTGTCTATCCTTACCACTATAATACAGTTTAAAACCGGTATCCTCAATTTCCCTAGCTTTCTCACCCGTCCACTTAGTTTTTTGTACGCATGCTATACTAACTCTCCTCCTAATCATAACATCTACCAATTCCATCGTCTTACTAGTTAAGGTTCCTATATTTCCAAGTGGCTACCCTAAACCTATAGTCTTGGATTAGCTTCTTTAGCCGTGCTCGTCTAAAAAAACATGGGAACCTTTGCCCCATTTTCACTGCACCCAGGCATCGATACGGCGCCCCTTGCTCACTTTTTGAAGCACTCAGAGGCAGGCGCAACGCATCACTTAAGGGGGAATGACCTAGCATTTAAACGATTTGAAGTAGGATTCATTATCATAAGGGGTTCGAGTGGCTTTTTTATGTGTTGGCTGTCGGCTACCTAATATACAACCCCATCCTTTACCTGGGCTTGGGACGGTGGAGTTGTTAACAACCCCAGCAGAGTTTAACACAATAAATAAATAAATAAAAATAAAACTAGATAAAAATAAGTTTAAAAAAAATTCAAAACAATCACCATCAAACAAATATTACCAATCGCCTTCATAATCCGTTTATCATCACACTTGGTAATTATGATAGCTTAATTCATCATCACCATCTCTTTCCTAAATAGCATAAAAAGAGAGGGGTTAGGGTTTATATCAAAATAATTAAAAAAAAATTAGAGTTTGATTTATTATTGATCAAACCTTCTTTTTTGGGCAAATTACCTATAACTCCTATGAGAAGAACACATGTTTTACTTAGTCCCACAAATTTTTTGTGTAAACCCAAAAATCCTAAGGCGCCTTCCTTTTTTTTTTTCTTTTCTTTTCCCTCTTTCTGATATATACTTACCAGCGACCAACGACTACCATCGATTGGGGTTCACTAGCAACCATTGACTCCTTACTTCGCCTTTAGTGATGACGAAGAAGATAAGTTTCTGACGATATTCTTGACCTAGATCTACTCAGATTTGACCAGCGCAATACAAGACTCACTAGGATATTAAGATTTAGAGCATATTTGAGTAGATCTACATTAGATTCAATCAGATCTAAACCAAAAGTGGTTAACTCTCTTTATGTTTGTCCCTCTCATTTGATCTCTTAGTTTTTTTTTTCCTCTCTCTCTGTACTATACACTTCTCGTTTCTTGTTTTAATGGAGAAAATCTTCAACTTCTGAAAAAATATTTTTCGAGTTTAAATTACAAATGGTGAAAAACTGTAAAATTTTACAGTCTTGAAGATATGTTTTCGTTTTTCTCTATGACTTTAGTATTTTATTTTTCTCTTTATTAAAAAAAAAATATAGGAAATATTGACTATTGTCACGACGTGAAATCGTGTTTTAATAAATTACAAATGAACAAATTAATAATTTTTATAGTTTTGAAACTACAAATTTGTGTAGTTTGATAAACAATAAATTCAAACTCTAAATTTTTTAAAATTTGTGAACTAAAAATTATATGCTCTATATGATAAAGAGTTATTTTTCATGTTTTGTGGCGTTGGAGAGGAGGTAGCTAAATTTTACTATGTTTTTGCTTTAATTTCTCCCTTTCTTCTTCTTATTCTTCTTCTTTTTCTTCTTTTTTCCGGTGATGTTCTGGACATTCCGGTGAGTGTCCAATGATGTTCTTGACGTCCAAAGGCATTTTAGACATTCTGACAATTTTTTGGTGACGTTCAGAACACTTCGACAAAATTTTTAATGATATTCCGGTGACTTTCTGACACTGTTGAAATGTGGTAGCGTCTTTAAATTTTTTAAAATAATTATTGGTAACAATTAAAAATATATATGACTAATTGATAATAATATTTTGTTTTGAAATTAGATGAATTTTGAATTGTTCAAATAGGACCTCCGGGTCAATGTCCATTGTTTTTGTTTTGTTTTTTTTGTTGTATTTGCAAAATCGACCCATGTTTAAGCAGGTCCAGTGCCCCTCTATGAGGGCCTTGGGTACGAAGCATTCAAGCAGGCCCTTTGGTGTAAAATTTGAACCGTAGCGTAGGAGGGAAATAGCTTCAAAGTTCAAACTCTCTCTCAATTGCTGGACCGAGAAAAAGCACAACTGTGCCTTATTCTTCTTCTAGGGTCACACACAGCTGCGAGCTCTCTCAACTCAGGATGAGCAAGGAAAATGAGCATTTAGGAGGGTTATCAGAGCAACAAAAAGTTCGAATTTCTAGAATTTCAGAGCAGCCAAGGCCCTCCTTGCCCGCAAAAGGCCTCGCCACTCCACTAATACCCACCATCAGTTTCCTGACAAGTATGTGCTTTCCCAGCTTCATCCTTATTCTGTTCTATCTGTTTGGTTTCCTAGAAAATCGAGGAAAATAAAAAGTAAAAAATTTAATTGCTAACCTGTGCTGTGCCTTGTTGGTTCAAGAGTAAAATAGAGAGTAAAAATATAAACTCAAAATCGGACTCGTTTTGTTCTAGTTAGTAAAGTTGATTAGAAGCGCCCCCATTTCTAAAATTTTGATTCAACCCAATTGGTGTGTTTCTTTCGACATTTTAAAAGATCAATGTACAAATGCCTCTAAAATTCAAGGGAGAATTACAAAAAAGAAAAAAGAAAAAAAAAGCCTTCTAACAAAATAAATCCTCAATTTTTAATTTTATCAATTTAAATCCTAATATTTTAATTTACTTTTAATTTAAACCATTTACCTATTTTAATTAAGTAAAATTGACAGAAAAATGGTATTTTAGTCATTAATATCAATGTAAATATATATAAAATGTCTAAAATACTTTTTTCATTGAGTTTAATGACTAAAATATCAATTTTTCATCGATTTTACTTAATGAAAATAGGCAAATGGTTTAAATTGAAAATAAATTAAAAAATTAGGATTTAAATTGACAAAATTAAAAACTCAGTTTATTTTGTTGGAATTTGTTGTTGTTGTTGTTGTTGTTGTTGTAAAATTCAATTATTGTGCAAAATTGTTATGTTTCTTTCTGCATTTGCTGGTTATACGATACAGTGAAAGAATGTAAGAATTTTGATGTGGTTATTAATATGGGCGTTGCTTGTTCTAGATATGCAGATACAAAGAGAATTGAAACTCCAGCACAGGTTATTGGCATCAAAAGGCTTCCTCTTTCAGAGATTCCAATGAACACACCTTCCCCAGCTTCCTTTAAGGGGTCGAAAATACCAGGAGGTGAATGTAACATCAGTTCATGTTCTGGGGGCATATCCGTTAGTATGATTGATGATAGTTTGAGTATAAGGACAATGGGTGTTGATTTGGAGAATGAGGCAGTTCCTAATTCATTTGAAACTCCAACAAGACAACTGGAATGTAGCGGCAGTTTATGCTCTGATGCCATATTTGTCAACGGAATTGAATCGATTGATGATAGTTTGAGTAAAAGGAAAACGGGTGTTGTGTTGGAAGATCAGTCTGGGCTAAGTTCTTTTGTTACTCCAGTGGGACAACTGCATTTTTCTGCCTTGTGCAAGTCTTCATCTGTATCTAGTGTTTTAGATGAGGATATTGACAATACCATTTTGGAAGAAATTGATGCTCTATGTGAGCAGAAGACAGTGGTAAACTCAGGAAGGGAGGAGTGCAGCGGTAATTTTCAAATGGAAATTCAGTCTGTTGAAGAGAATAGTTCGGAGCAAAAGACAAATTTGAGTTCTGTTTTTTCCCGGAGTTGTTGAAAACTGAAGGCATTATGAATTCAAGTGAGGATCAAGAATGTGGAGTAGGGGAATTGAGGATTTCAGTGGCCGCACAAAATGGGAGTATGCTAGAGGAATCTGTGAAATATATGGATTCTCTGAATGACAGGCAGCGGGAAGCTGCTTGTAGTGACATTTCTATCCCTTTGATGATTGTTGCTGGACCAGGAAGTGGAAAGGTCTGCATTTTATGATATTTTTCACTTTCTACTAATTTGTTCTTTGAAATCTTAGTTTGCTTTATGCCTTGCTTATAGCTTGCTTTCACTTGTATAATGTCAGACTGCTACGATGGTTGGACGTGTTCTGATGTTGCTTAATGAGGTATTGCTAATTTGCTATATATTGCTTGACCATCTGGTTGATCATTACATTTGTTTGAATGTTTCTTAAACAGGCACTGGGTTTTCTCAAGTGATTGATTCGTTATTATTTTATCTTTACTTGATCTTTGTTTTGTCTTGTATGTTGTGTTTTCTTATACTTTCTACTTCTGCTCTCCCCCACTCAAATATTTTACAGCATTGGTCCATCCAATATTCTGGCTATGACTTTCACTACAGCGGCTGTTTCTGAAATGAGAGATCGAATTGGAGCAGTGGCTGGGAAGGCAACAGCGAAAGACCTTACAATCAGCACATTCCATTCATTTTCTCTGCAACTTTGTCATTCACATACTGAAAAGTATGCATATTTTGAGATTTTTCAAAGTATTCGTGACTTGGACTTGGAAATATATGTATATGTTGTTCAGGCTTACTTGTTGCCGTCTTTTCAAAATACAAATTTACTGGAAATAATGCAATCTGAATTTCTGTTAGTGTTTAATTTTGTTCTGGTGAGCTTTTTGCAAAATAAGATTAAAATATTATAAATTGACTTAGGGTAGATCAAGCCACCTCAGGAAGTCAAAGTACTGTATCATTTTTCCGAAAGATATCAAAGATGCTATATGTATCGAAGATACTTACTGCTTTCATGTGCAATATGTCATATTTTTAATATTAAGTTTTCCCGAGCGACTAAAAACTGTGACGCCATAGTTGTCTAGTTCATGACATCATATGTACCTATTGAATTCAGTGGTTTTCTTTTATTTATTTTTCTTTTTTCTTTCTTCTTTCTTCTTTTTATTTATTTATTTATTATTATTTACAAATTCTGCTGATAGTGAAATATCCAGAACCAACTGGCATAGTACTGTTGGAAAAATGGTTTACTATAGGCATATTTTTTAGCCCAAATTTGAGTGGGCCCAAACGTCTTTTAAGGTGGATGAAGTGTTCCTTGTCGCGTGGCAAGTCACACGGTGAAGACGGAACGTCAAAACCATTTATGAGTGAATGGAAAGTTGACATCGTTTTCGGGTCCAACATTAATTTTTTAGATAAAATTCATTTGAATTTTTTCAATAAAAATTATTGTGGGAATTTAATTTAATTCTAAATTCAAATTTTGAGTTCCTGAGTGGTTTCCTAAAATTTGTAATTATGAGAATTTAATTTATTTCTAAATTCAAATTTTAGGTTCCTAAGTGGTTTCCTAAAGTTTGTACCTCTTTCTTTATTTATTAAACTATTCAAATAGTTTAATATATATATATATTCAAATAGTTTAATATATATATATATATATATTTCAATAGTTTAAATAAATAAAGTTGCAACAGGTTTGACTTGGTCCACTACGGTTCACTTTTCATTGTTTGAATATTAGTGTTCTTGCACCAACGGTCAGAATTGTTTGAATCAACAGTTGCATCTGTTTATTCACTTTTTGGAACCTGTTCGGGGCAGAGATTTTTTCCTATATATACAGCCATAAATCCAGCATTTGATACACCCGAAAATTGAGTCTTTGTAATCTAATTTTCCATTCGGAAATATATCAGTCTGCAATTCTTGTCTTTGCTATCCAACTTTGCTTTGTTGTGCATTATTCTTCATTTTAGTTTTAGAATAAAATTCAGAGAGTTAGAACACAGGTTTGGTTCGCTGTACAAATTTGTTTGGTGTGCTACAACAATTTTGTGAAGATCATTGTATCCTGGGAGATAGACGCCACTCAACCGTAAGTACCGTAGCGGGGCGAATCTGTCTTAAGGACAGAGTGTCACACACTCGACTTGGTCTTTTATTTCTAATTCAGTTCGATAAATAAGTTCGGTATGTTATTTATTTATTTTGTTTAAATTAGTTTCAGTTTATTTTATTTACACAGAAGATTGTCCAACAAGTACTACCCATGCTACCCCAGATTAGATGGTGAAAGTGAAACACTGAAACTTAAGCAGTGTGTTTGTTTTGACTTTTCTGGATTAAGTTTTTTGGAAATTGACTTTTTTGGTTTTCGTATTTTTTTGTTTTTAGTGAATATTTTTTAAATTTTAAACATTTTTTTTTTACTTTTTTAGATGCACCTTACTTAGATGTATCTAAAAAGTAAAAAATTTGTGAAAAAATATTTTAAAAAATTAATAAATACATAAAAATACAAAAAATGTATTAAATTCTTGTATTTTTTTGTATTTTTGGTATTTAGTGAATTTTTAAAAGATTTTTTTTACAATTTTTTTACTTTTTAGGTGTATTTATGTTTTGTGTGTCTAAAAAGTAAAAAAATTGCTTAAATATTAAAAAAATTCAATAAAAACAAAAAAATACGAAAAATAAGAAAATAGAATTTTCTGAAAAATATTTTTTGAAAAGTGAAAACAAGCAAGGTGAATGATTTTTTCCAATGACTTGAACAGTGCTTTTTTCTAATGACTTGAACAGTATTGTGCATTGCAGGGGCCCGCCCCCGGGCTGTTCCCCTTAGCTGCTGTATCTGTTCTCTCTCTCTCTCTCTCTCTCTCTCTTTTTGCTTCTGTGACGACGTCTTTTTTTTTCCTCCTTCTTCTTCTTCTTCTTCTTCTTCCCCCTTCCCCTTTGCTGATGTCTCTGGTTTTTTTTTTCCTCTATTTTTTTTCCCGCTGTCTCTATTTTTTTTCCCGCTTTTTTGATGCTGGCTTCTTCTTCTTTTTCTTCTTTCTTCTTTCTTCTTCACTGCTGTCTCTGTTTTTTCTGCTGTCTCTATTTTTTTTTTTTTTTGTTTGTTGTTGTTGCTGCTCTTCGATGCTGCCTTCTTCTTTCTTCCTGTTGGATGTGTATTATTTTACCTTTGAAAATTGGAATGCTATGTAATATGTATTTTTATGGCTTTGAGAATTATTTTATAATTTGCCTTAGTTACTTTTTTAAAAAAAATTCTTTATCTTAATACTTACATGCTACGAATCATTGGTCTATATTAATTTATCTATTTTTACTGAGACTGTGAGCCTTACTTTAATAAAGTCTGCTCCTCGCCTTGTGCCTAAGCCCCAAGAGACATTTGGTGCCTTGGTTCGCCTTGAGCCTTTAAAAACACTGGACTTGAAGTTCTTGAATGAATTTCTGTTTTGGCAGACATTGAACTATGTTTATTTGTTCTTCTGCTGGTTTTTTCCTTGCAATTCCAAGCATATATTATATGTGTCTGGTGCAATGATTTCTCTACAATTAACTTTTTTATTCAATGTTGGATGGTAAACCATATTATCGGGCCATACAAGCATACAAACCTGTGAATCAATGCTAGAAAATTATTATTCCAGTTTGAGGGTCCAAATTTTGGCTGCCTAGCATCTTAATGATCCAAACTATCTTGAATGGATGGTAAGCACTAGCTGGATTACATGATTGTGTTTTTCTTCTTTTGTAGAGCTATACTTGCATATGAGACTATTTGAGACCTACCTAATAATTGTATTTTTTTATTTTGAAAGGAAGATAGATTTATGTCACCATAAAGATCTGAGCGCACTACTAGAATGTTTTAGAATAACTGCTTCTAATTTTATATACTATATTCCTTGGATTTAACAAAGTTCAAAACATAGAAGCAACCTCTTTGTATGTGGGGTAAGGTTGTGTACATTTGATTCTCCCCAAACTGCATAGTTGCATGCGGGAGGTCTTGCATTGCGCTATGATTCATTTAATTCACTTTTTATGAAGGCCATCAATTCTTCTCTATATTCTCACAAGTTTGGTTTGATTTACACTCGCAACATCAAGCTTAAGGAGTGAGTTATTAGTTTCCTTTTTTATGTAAATTTAATTTAAATCATAGTTGTGGATAATTTTTACCCCTGTATTTGTAGAATATGCTAGTTCTTAAAGCAGAAGAATTTGTGGCCATTGAACCCTTGAGGGAGGCATCACATTATCAGCTTAGTACACTCAGTAATTCATTCATTTTTTTGTGTCTTACTTTTATGCAGCCACTTTAGGTTCCTTGTTATTGTAGTCCTATCTTGGTGGTTTGCTCCAATCCGATTTATTCTTAAATGAATAACAACCTAATGTATAACCATGCAACAGGTTAGGTTGCACACCAGAATTCTTGATATGTGGGCATGGGCAACAAAGAAGAGCAATCATTGAGGCTGTGAGGCTATTGGGAAATGGAAAGAATAGGCAAAATCAAGATGCTCATAGACATGATGAAGAGTTAAAGATGTAAATTCTCCACAATATTTCAAAGATAAGTCAAAGAAGTGGCAGAAGTTTGTAGCTCAAGTAAGTGGCTTATTTGCATTGGTAATATTTTGCCATATTTTCTAATCTAAAAGCTTAGTGATATGTGGTTCTTGCTCTAAATTGAACTCTTTCTTTTTCTTTCTCCATTTTATATGATTAATGAACCAAACCAGCAAGATTTAATTATTTATTTTTTTGCAATCTGATCTCCAACATTTTCTTGTCTTTTGTAGAACTTGATTAGTGTCTTATGAGCTTGTTCTTGATAGATTTAAGTAAAGAATGAATTTGTTTTTTTTTTTCCTGTTTAGAAGAATAGTAGGACATAATTATTGGCTCTGCTGTAATATCTAGTTAATTCTGCTTTTGATGTAAAGCTAACATTGAATGTTAAATTTCTCATTCCATGTGAGCATGTGTGTGTGTGCAAACTTGTGCATAGGAGCAAATAATAAATTCTCATGGTTATGGGGAAGTGTTGGGTGATGTTTGTAAAATTGAGGCGTGAACTGCCACATCGTGGCATTTCTGCTTTTTCTGATTGAGGCTTGGCTGCAACTCCTTGTAACTGCCACATCTTCTCTTGGCCTTTCATGGCTTTGCCACCTGTCACTTCTTGCTTCCTTTCCATAACTGCTTGTAATCGCCCTTCTCTTTATTCCAACTTGTGATTTTATTCTGGTGAATGGCTTTAACTGCTGCATTGACCCATGACTTGACCCGTCATGTGTCCTTTTCATAAAGAAGTACATGTTGCTTGCAATTTATTGCCACCTCTAGGTCTGTTGACAGACCTGTAAAGAAAAAGCGGCACAAACAGGTGGATCAATGTTAAGTTGGATCTGTGAGTGTTATATTTCTTTTTTTGATTGTTAGAGTTGAGTCACTTGAAGTTTTTACAATGGACAATAAGTTTTTTTGCCATTCATGTAATTTACATTAAATTCTTGTGATGCTTGATTGAGCTTGGCCTGAAGAAGGAACTGTATGAATTGTGAGTATACGCTTTTAATTCTTGAAGTTACTTTTGCAATTTAATCGCTGTCCAGAGAAAATTCAGCAAAACTGGAACTATTAATATAGCTGCAAATTGGGATAGTAATAGTCGGCCCAAACTCAGCTTGTGTAGCTCAAAATATTGGTGATTTGCCTAATGTTTAATGAGATTATATCTATTTTCAAATTGTGGGGATGGGCTCTGAATTCATTTCTTTTAAATAGTCGTGAAAGGACTGTTCTGTATTTTAAAAAAGGAGCCAGGCTAGGGTGGTTGGTGGGACACAAAAGGTAGAAAATAAAATTCAAGAAGAATTTCTTTCACTTTTTCTTTAGTTTGTACTTTGTAGTATAGCAAGTTATCACCTTCATAATTGTTAATAGTATTTTACGGCAGTGTCCTCCACTTTATGACATTGGTGTTTCTTTGTCATTTATGCATGTTATAGCAGCATTAATGCAATCTAATTTCAGGCCAAAGCTTCTGGAAAGACTCCTGAAGATTGCCATAAAGTGGGTGATGCCATAGGGGTAAGCAGAAATTAAGCAGTTCCTTCCATCTTTTCTTTTGCTGCTATTTTGATTAGTTTTTAACTATTCTGATCTTTGAGTGTGGTTTAGGCGGCAATTCTTCAAAACTACAATGACATATTAAGAACTTGTAATGCTCTGGACTACCATGACTTAATCAACTGTTCAGTGAAGCTGCACAGTGATTTTCCTGAAGGTTCATGTCATCTCAACGTGTTTAATAAACTAATAATCTGCAATTGTTATCGTGTTTCAACTAACAGTTACTTTTCATTTGAAGTATTTAAGGAGTGCCAGGAGTCATGGAAAGCAATTGTGATAGATAAATTTCATATTTCACTTCTTGTGATAAGTTTTGGAATGAATGCTTTTTAAATATGTTTCCTTTTCATTGATCGTGTGCAAATTTTGACAGGTTAGATTAAATAAGAATTATCGGTCCACCCGCTGTATCGTTGAAGCTGCATCATCTCTTATAAAAAATAATTTGAACCGAGGCCAGCTAAAGAATGTTCTCACTGATAATTCTTGTGGATCTAAGGTAATCATTGTTAAAATTGAAACCAAACTACTAACTCTTGTTGAAGCTGGTAAGTGATTCTGTATTCTTTTGACTCCATATGCAGATTTCTGTAAAGGAATGTTGTAATGAGGTTGCACAGTGTGCATTTGTTGTTGATAAGATCTTAGAAATTACATCTGAAGGTTCATCTGCTAAGTAATATGATACTGTGATGTCCTGTGGTGCCCCATAGTATTACTAATGTTATGCATTTTGTAGTTACGGATAATATGTATGAGACCATGTTAGCTTTAAATGTTTTTGAAATGTCTTTTTTAGGCTCCATATTGCCTCATACACTATATTAACCATTTCCCCCTTTAATTCCTTAGATAAATCTTTCTTGACGATTGCTAAGAGTGTTTTTTTTATTAATTGAGGTTGGTCTTTGAGCAGCATGAACTGACCTATCTCATCCATCTAAAAGAAATGAAAATGAAAAAACGTAGAAAATGCTATTGCTCTATTCTCTCTCATACAAAGTTTTAAAACGCATTATCGAGGCTTGCCTTGAGGCTTTATTTTTAGGCGACACTCCTCAAAGGCTTGTGCATATGGAGATCTTGATCTTGGATTGTTGTTAAACTTAGTCTAATACATTATTTAAACATAAAAAGAACTCCTTTTGTAACTATATTCATGAGAAAAATCAAGTAAATTATTGACCAAGAAAAAACACAAAGCTAAGGCTTGAAAACTGAAGCTAAGAATGTTGATTTCACGTGTAAAGAGTGCAAGCTTCCTTCTCTGGAGTGAAATGTTTGATGCTTTGAGAGAAAATGTATTTGCACTTTTATATTTAATTTACAATATTTTAACATATTTTAGTTGTTTACTAAATATAAAAATTCAAAATGTTTACGCCTTGAGGCTTATACCTTGCGTCACAAGGGGTAAAGTGCCTAGCATAATGCATTCACCGTTAAAAACTTTATGTGAATATCATCAAATTGTATTATCTATTTGTTTATCCTTTAAGTAAATTTATTGGTTTTGTGACTACTGTCTCCTCAGGTACTTGGCTGATGAAACTGCTATCTTACTGCTTTACTCATTAGTGCATGGGAACTCAAATTTTCTGGAGTATGTCTTGGTGCGAACAGATTTGGAAACACTGGTATGGAGTGGCAGCTATCATTTCCATCTTATTTGTATTTAGTTAGCCCACCTATTGTTGTGTGGTAACCTTGGCAAGAGATAAAACAAAATTTTTAGAAAAAAAAGAAAAAAAGAACAATGGTTATTACTTGTCAGATAAGTGATGTTATGGACACAATTTACAAATTTTGTGTACAACAGTAACTAAAAAATCTTATGAGCAGTCATCATTTTTAGTAGTTTACGTAACATAAATGCCACATATCCTAATTTGATTTGCATTATGCAATGAAATCAACAGTTGATGCCCATGCTGGAAACACTATATAATGCTTCAAAAGGGACATCCAATCAAATCTACATGGTGCTAATTATTTTGCTAGTACTCAGTCAAGATTCTTCTTTCAATGCCAGTATTCACAAGCTGGTGAGTACTACCTCTTTAGGCTATCATTTAACTGGATTATATAAAGATCATATTAACATCTTATTTATTTGAACAGATGCTGCCAAGTGTTCCATGGTACCAAGAACGCCTGCTCCATCAAACTTCTCTTGGTTCCTTGATGATCATAATTCTGATAAGGACTGTGAATTACAACCTATCTAAGCTACGGGTATGGCTTGGTGCCCATGTCTGCTGATTATTTATATTTAAATACTTTGTTATGTGTTCTCTTGGTATTGCTGTGATAGATTCCTTGTTTCAGTTCAGAAATTGAGATCGATTTGTATGACCCATGAAAAGAAGATTGTCTCATACGTGCTTGTTGTCAAAATTTGTCAATGCTTACAGTATGAATTTTTGGAGATTTGTTGAGATCTTAAAATTCAGATATATCAATTTCAATGTTGACGCTAAGTAAAGATATATATATATATATATATTTAATTTCTTCAATATATATATATATATATATATTGACAAGTATCACTCTTCAATAATATTCTGATGTAAGCAAAAATTATAGAGCCTGTTTTGTACGTAATCAAGGAAAACTGGGG